CTGGTCTCTATGACGCCCAGTGAGCACCAGGGGGCAGACGCTCAATGCAGGAGCTGCCCCCTGGTGGTCAGTGCACTCCCACAGGGGGAGAGCCACTCAGAAGCTGGGTTCACAGCTGGCAAGCACAGCGGCGGTGGCGGGAGTCTCTCCTGCCTCCAAGGCAGTCAGACATCTCCCAAGGGCTCCAAGACTGCGAGAGGGCGCAGGCCGGGCTAAGGGACCGCCCCCCCCCCCCCCACACACACACACAAGTGCACAGATTTCGTGTATCAGGCCTCGAGTACAGCTAATACGTGTCAAAGCTGGGACTTGAATCCAGGCTGTCAGACTCCTAGATCATTCTTGTAACTGTTGGTCAGTCATTCATGGCAGTGGGACACTCTTCTGTGTCCCTTAATGATTTCTCACTTTTCTCCCCCATGACCTCAATTGGTTCAACAATGGCAGACTATCTCATTTTAAAATGAACAAAATATTGTGCATTTTTGGAAATATTGCTCCTGTGCTATTACTCATGAAAGGCAAGGTCTTTTGCTGGTGATGCTTGTTAGGTGGTATTTATGCTGACATCATAGATATTACTTAAAGATGACACTTTTGATGGTAAATATACATATCATGGGTTCACTTTTTTATCAATTATTTTATACTAGAGGCCCGGTGCATGAAATTCATGCACTGGGGGAGGGGGTGTCCCTCAGCCCAGCCTGCACCTTCTCCAATATGGGACCCCTCGGGGGATGTCTGATGGCCAGTTTAGGCCCGATCCCTGTGGCATCAGGCCTAAACCGGCCGTCGGACATCCCTCTCACAATCTGGGACTGCTGGCTCCCAACCGCTCGCCTGCCTGCCTGCCCCTAACCATTTCTGCCTGCCAGCCTGATTGCCCCCAACTGCCCTCCCCTGCCAGCCCAATCACCTCCAACTGCCTTCCCTGCCAGCCCTGTCACCCCCAACTGCCCTCCCCTGCTGCCCAGGCACCCCCAACTGTCCTCCCTTGCCAGCCCAGTAACCCCTAACTACCCTCCCCTGCAGGCTTGGTTCCCCCCAACTGCTCTCCCCTGCTGGCCTGGTTGCCCCAACTGCCCTCTTCTGCTGGTCTGATCGCCCACAACTGCCCTCCCCTGCCAGCCATCTTATGGCTGTGGGTGGGGCCATCTTTGAGGGTGGGGAAGTCAATTAGCATATTCCCTCCTTATTGGCTGTGGGTGGGGCCATCTTTGAGGGTGGGGAAGTCAATTAGCATATTCCCTCCTTATTGGCTGTGGGTGCTGCCATCTTTGAGGGTGGGGCAGTCAATTAGCATATTCCCTCCTTATTGGCTGTGGACGCCGCCATCTTTGCAATGGCGCGAGGGTCACTTAGCATATTCCCTCTTTATTTAGATTGGATGGATATTCATTACTGAGTTTCTCCTATCTAAAATTTCAACTCCTACTAATCTCCAACATTTACCATTTCATATTCCACTCCCTTATTTTTCTATATAACTCTTATCACCAATATATTAATATACAAGGGTGGACTAAAGTAAGTTTACAGTTGTTCATATAGGAAATAATACAATAATTAATAAATAATAATATAAGAATAAACAGTTTCACTTACTCACAACTGTAAACTTACATTTGTCCACCCCTATATTTTACTTTCCTTGTTTATTGTCTGCCTCCTTCTCTAAAATATAATTTCCATAAGGACACACCATTTTGTCTGTTTTGTTCACTACTGTATCCCATGCACCAATTGAATGAAAATTCAATAAATGTCAGCTAAATAAATCAACATTTGTGTATAGACAGTATTCTTAGGATTTATGTTATTTGGATGATTGTTGTGGAATGGAGTAGAGAGCAATATCTGAGACTAAGCTTTCAGGAGTATTAGCATCTACCTGTACATATTCTCACTGCTATCAGATGTATGTTATATACCAAAGGAGACTAAAGCCCATAACGGGAAGATAAGATCACTAGATGAGGCAGCCATCTCAGAAGTGTGGAGGAAGATCACGTTTACATGTTAGCTTCTCCTCTCTCTCCCAATAATATCATCAGCAGTTAGGACTGACATGTTATGGAGGGATGAACCTTAATGAGGAGGTAGCAGTGTGGTAATTAGCAGCATAGCTGATGGTCTCAGAACACCGGGGTTGAATTCTCAACTATTCCACTTAATAGCTCTATAAATATTAGAAGTCACTAATATTTTAAGCCAAAATTTATTTATCCTGAGACTTCAAGGAATTCTTCAACCCTATGAAACTGTTAAAACCTACTGTAGAAAGAGACTGGATGCTTCTCTCTGGGGAGATCTAGAGTTTTCATCAAATTTTCAATGTCTCAGTACTTACAATACTCTGGGCATCAAAGACCAAGTGATATTGTTATAAATAAAGCTGCAAGATGCATTCCTTTGGATTGGCTTAAAGTCCCTCAAGGCCAGTCAGACTTGTGATATTTTGCAAGCCATTAATATTTCTCTGTTTTCTAATTACCTCAAATCTACATAAACCAGAGCTGCAAAATAGAATCTCACTATGATTACAATCACCTTTCCACAGCTGAGGTTAAATGATTTGCCTACATGACAAAGACACCTCATACATACATTTATTTTTAAGAAATTATATTTTATTGTCAATAATAACTATGTATCTCTCTCATAGGAATGTGGCTTTTTGAGAGTAAAAGCATCATGCTTTACTCATTTTTGTGGTCTCAGCATCTAGAAAGTATAAAGCATGTATTACACACAAAAATTTGTTTGCTCTATAATAACTGAACTGGATATTAGTCTCAGGTCTTCTCATTGTAAATCCTCAACATAGTCTCATTTTATTCAGTCACATCTTCTCATAAAATTAGTCTAATGGGGAAGTCTCTTTCCTTTGTTAATATACTGTTTCAGCATTTTTTCTTACTATCTTCCTCAGCTAGGGAACTAGTTATTAAGCGAACTGTTCTATTGATATCATGGAAAGGAAAGTAAGCATGAATCAAGAGTCTAACAAAAAGCAAAATACATAGGTTGTTTCTATTGAAGTCAAATGGAAACTAAAGTCAATGATATATTCTAAAAAAAATTGAAAAGTAGTCACTTATGAATACTTTATTTTTTAATAAGCTCAAGCAACCAATCACAGTAAACCTCCTATATCATTTTCTAGGGATCTGATCATACTTAGGGCCACTAGTTGTATTCACTCTGTCCCCCTGGTATCTGCATCAAATATTATCAAATTTTCAAATTTCATATTCTCAAGTCTTCTTTTTTGATACATTTATACCTCTGTTGCATTTCCTGATTGTGTTCTTCTGTTTTATTACACTAAATTACTCCTAAACACATTTTTAAATCAGATGAAGAGTATCCACCCAGTATTGGAGCTATGTATTGAAAGTAATGGGAGTCCATTTGCAGAGAATCATGCTTAACAGGCAAGGAGAATAGAGGTGAATATGAATCTTAGGAAAGAATAAAAAAAGTGGGCAGTAGGATCACAGATAATAGTAATATTCCCATGTTGATTTTTTCCTTATGTAATCTCAGTGCAATATCCAAGGAATATTGATTTATTAATGTGTAAATACTCTCATCATTACATCTAAGATTAAGAGCAAACTGCTTTTAAGGTTTGAGTTTTCCCTTCCTTCCTTCCTTCCTTCTTTCCTTCCTTCCTTCCTTCCTTCCTTACTTCTTTCCTTTCTCTTTCTCTTTTCTTCTTCCTCTTCTTAACTGTCATTTGTTACTCTCTGCACTTTCTGAACCCCATGAAGTAAAAATGTTAGGACCCCAAATGTCCCCAAAGGTTATGCAAAGATGCATCATGTGCCTGATGCAAGAACACATTCCTGAGTATTGTACTAAGACTGTAGAGCAAGTTGCAATACACTATAAATATATAAGCAAATACAGAAAGAATAAAATTCCATTAACTAATGATTTTCTCAGACATCTGACTATAAGAAAGGTTTATAGGCAAAAAATTGTATAACTAGGTCATTCTAGTACTTATAAAATAATTCAGATTATGCAAGATCCATTAAGTTTCATATTATATAAATTGAAAATAATTCTTAGCTTCAATTTGGAACATTTTCTTACAGAACATTATTATATTTTATAAGTGAAAAACAAACTTTACTTTCTAAAGTGTATATATAAATCTATATATCATTGATAAATATATCTAAACTAATAATTTCATTGCACAAATAATTTTGGCAAACAATAGAGTGTTTTGAATATTTCATGTTAAATTCTAAAATGGAAAAAATAACAGTGCTACTAACTTATTTCACTTAAAATGATAATATATGTGGTTTGAAGAAAAAACAACAGTATGTTAGCACTTTTTTAATAGCATGAAAGCACATTTATGTGTCTGTATTTTAAATTTATGAATGTAACAAAATCTTAAAAACATTCATATGTTTCCTAAATCATATATATGAGGGAGTAATCTTTAATTTTTATTTACCTAGAAGGTCATTTAATAAGTGAATTTGCATTATTTAAACTGATTCATCAAACAATGTCTATGATTGTAAAAGTAGTCATACTATACACAGAATTATACAGAATTCCTTTCACCACAGATGATTATTAAAATTATTTGAGAATAACCTCAGGTAGCATTTGCAAATTCAGATAACATAGTTTCAGTGCAAAAATACACATTGATTTTATAGGGAACTGCTTTATTGAAAAAAATAAAGCACGTCTTTATTTCAAACACTGAAAGACAATGTCTTTGTACTATGAATAAAATAATTATTTTTGAAAACTTAAAAAAAATACCTAAAATTTCCCATTTAACAGTAAATATTGCATGCAAAAGACTCTAGCAAATCTTTTTAATAAGTATTAAAATGACCAACAGATCAGCAATTTGCATCACTTCACAAAAAAGATTCCACAGTAAACGACTAGGTCTATGAGTGCATGCAACAGTATAGTATGTTTAGAGTCAAAAAAATAAAGGAAAAGGCAATTACCCTAAAAGACATTTCAAGATTCTCTCCACCCCAGATATCCATTCCTGCATCGTAAGTTCCTATCTCTTCAAAGTAGTTTCTGTCAATAGAAAATAGGCCACCAGCCATAGTAGGGGTCCTAGTTGAAAAAACAAAACAAAAAGAAAAGAATATCTTTTGAAAACAATATGTGGAGTTTAATGAGACTGTAGCAAATATCTTTGAGACATTTTACATTAAAAATAATACTACTCAAAAATCTCAAACTGAAAACATAAAGCCAAGGTGTAAGAGGTTTTAAAATTAGTAAATAGCATTTTATCATATTTTCTATAAAACTAAATTTAGATTAGCCTATTTTTGTTATAGGTGATCATACAGACACATGGAAGGAACACAGGGCACTTAAGAGGAGGGCATCTACATTCTTTTTGAAAGCCAAAGCGAAGAGAAGTTAGTGCTCTTTTTACTACCCTTTAAGAGATTACTAATCATGAAACTGCCAGCTGTAATCTTTTATCATCTGATTATAAATCATTTTCATGTGAAAATGGGTTTTCTATGGAAATATCTATAGCCTACGTAAATATGAAAAATATCGAATGCTATAACATGTTTATAGACAGTTAAGTAATGAGAATTACAAAAGTATTTTCAAACATCAGAGCTTTACATCTAATCACATATTCTTCTCTTTACCCAACTAAAATAATACAATCAATCATATAACACTGGAGAAACATAGATCCCTTTGCTATGCAGAGATTTAAAGTAAATTTGGCACAGATGCTAAAACTTTTCCCTATAAATAAATGCTTTTGGTTCACACATTCGAAACTTCTCTATAAGAACTAAGAAGTCAAATGTTTCCTTTAACTTTTAAATTACTTTTAAAAGATCATTAAAGCAATGTTGATGCGTGAATTATACAAGTCTTTCTATACAAGTATTATAAATTTAACTAAAAAAGTGTGGCTTAGTTGATTGGGCATAGTCCCGTGTATCAAAAGGTTGCTGGTTGGATTCCAGATCAGGGTACATGCCAGGGTTGGGGGCTCTATCCCTGGTAGGGAGCTTGCAGGAGGCAGTCTATTGATGTTGCTCTTTCTCTCTCTCTGTATCTCTTCTCTAAAATCAATAAAATATTCTTTTTAAAAAAAAAAAAAAGAAAGAAAATTCTAGTTGTTCACAACTGGATCTATCTACAATGGCAATTATTATTTTTGAACATTAATTGTGCACATTAGCACACCTGACGAACTTTTAAAAAATGCATTTCCATGCTTGGGTACCACTCTCCATAAATTCAGATTTCATTAACAGGTGGTGGGGCCAGACCTTGGATACTGTGTAAAGTTCCCAGCTAATTGTAATGTGCTGTTCAAGAGGAGAAACACTGGTCGAGTAACTGATTTGGAATGTTCATCCACCTAGTCTGAGATTGGTAAAAAACAAAACAAATGTTTTGCTTTTCTTGAAATTATATCCTCTTCTGCCACAGGATATGCTCATGTCCTCTAATTGAACAGTACAGTTGAATGAAAAACCACCAAATAATATTGTACTTGGATAGCTACCAGACTGTGAAGTTCCTGATTTCTCCCTGCGCTCTCACTGCTTTATACGCAGGTAATTAACTGCCCATCAGTTGGAGGAGCACAGGCTCTCTTAGTCTCGGGGCAGTTTTATTACCTCTGGTCTTGCTGAGCTCCTATCAGGAACAGCATCACTGACCTTCTGAATTATAATGAGAAACACTAACAAAGTGAAACAGATGGCACTTATGGTAGCCACAACCCTCACCTGACTGGGGTTTTGGAACTCTGTGGCAATAACTATATATGGTACTAGAGTGCTGGACAGCTTATATAATGAAACGAGGAACAAAAAACTGCTGCAATTATCCTGTCATAATGCCACCAAGTGCTTAAGAATGTTAAGTGATGCATTTTTAATGATCAGTTCAGAGTGCCTATCCACTTATCTACTTACTAATAAAGGACTAATGCATTCAAGTTAAATACCAGTATTGATTTTCATCTTTCATTTTGGTCATAATTCCTATAAATGTGTGAGAAATGTATAATAAGTGGCTATAATAAATCATATATTTACCATAGGAATGACCCAAAAAGTTGCACTTAGTCTTGAAAAGTAACAAAAATAAAATGGCAACTCAAAAAAAAAAAAGAAAATCCTGTGTTTCTGAGGAAATAAGCTGCTAGAGACAAATTTTTGTCTTTGCAATGTCAGCTCTCTCAAATAGTCTATGGACCATTCCTTAAATGATATCTACAGCAAAAGCCAGTGTTACGCAACATGTTCTGTTCTAAGTCAACTAAATGAACAATTTATATATGTCTGTGTGAACACTAAGTGTTCCGGTACCTGGAAGATAAAGACCTTGATTATAGTTGAATTATCTGAGATTATATTCTTTTTAATATTGTGTTTATACAATGTCACACCAACCAACTAATTCATTCAATGGAGTGGGTGGGGCAGAGCTTAATGGCTATGAATGTGACCTACTACATAGTAGGTAGGTGAAGATGAATTAATAGAAGAAAAACACTTAGCACAGTGCTCAGCACATAATAAAGTTAGGTGATATATCTTTGTTGTTGATGTAATCATTTAAACAAAAGACTTGAGTGTCCTTAATTTTTAGCTCCCCATAAACATACCCTCATTTTGGATTTCAAAACCATTTGGAACTATTTTCATATCCAAGACATTGAACTCTGAAATCTGCCACTCTGAACACAACTTTCTATTTTATAAGCCCTCCTGTTTCAATCCAACGGAAGTCATTTTTTATTCTTCATTGGTGAGTTTGGTTTCTTAGCTCTTCAATGTTCTCACATAATAATCGCCTTCAGGAATTGCTTTCTTTCTCCTACTGCCGCTCCAAGATTCAGTCATGTCAAGGAAAAAAACTAGCCTAACCCCCTAGGTTCTCTGCCCTTGACTTATATAACTCATTCTCTTTTTGTAAATATAGTACCTAGGTAAAATTAACCTTTACCTCATCTATTTATGCTCCTAAGACCCACAGAGTCATTGAAAAAGTAATATGATGAGTTCAACTGGTCATACTAGAAGTTCATGTTATTATTGACTCTCTGCTTAGTCCACAAATTGCTAAGGATCCTTTTATCTATGTTTATTTGCTCACTTGTCTCATTTTAACTGAAACTTTTCCAAAAGTTTGGGATGCTTCTCTAGAAACTAGAGATTGAGTCAATGCATAAAATGTGAACTCCCTCACTCTCTACCTTTATCTCTCTCTAGATAGATGATGATAGATAGATAGATAGATAGATAGATAGATAGATAGATAGATAGTTATTTAAGAATAAGTGGAAAAAGAAGTTGTCGTAGTTATTTTTAAATAACTAGTTATTTTCTTTAAAAAAATCTTTCTGACTCTACTCAGGGTGCTTTAGCACAGAACTGAGAATGTGCTATCCCTTTTTATATCTGCTTCTCTTTCAATGTCCTCTATTTCCTTCCAGAGCCTTAATATAAAATGATGAAAATGCCTTTCAGCACCTTTAATTTTTGTTCATTCATTCATTTCCCAAATACTTCTAATTTCTTTCCAAAGCACTTTTGCTGCTTCTCTGTGTTCTGTTATCATGGTCACTATCTAATTTTAGTGCCGTATTTCTGTGTGTTAATGGAATCCTCTTGCTTTTAGAGTCTGCTGCTTCCAAAATGTATTCTATAAACCACAGCCAGATTAATTTCTTTAAATTAAAACTCTCTAAAAAATGTTAACCAGATGTTCAAAACCCTATTTTAAGGAATAAATGCTAGCTTCTTATCCTGGCACCAGGGATCTGGAGTCACCCAATGAGCTCCATCTATCCTTTGAACTACTTCCCTGTATTTAAAGTGTTGAGCTTTTACTACTAAACGTTTCACACTTTCTCACCTTGGTACATATGTTCAAATCTATTTGTCACTTTCCTTTTCCTTTTAAACACCTGCTCTATTCTTAGGCCATTACAAACACAGATTCCACGCAGTCTGCCCTTAGTACAATCTAGATATAATAATTCCCTTCTTCCTTCTATAACACCCTGTTTCTGCCTCAAGGCACTTGTGACTGCTATCAAATATTATATATTATGTCTATATACATTTTACTACTTCTGTAAGAATACTCAATATATTGGTTTAATAGCATTAGACTACTAATATATGTTTACTGAATAGGTAAAATTTAAAAATGAGCAATGTATTTCATGGACAAAATACAATCTATTTAAAGGTTTAAATTACTTACAATTTTATTTCTAAAAATGTAACAAAAATTTTGGCTCACACCTGATAAACTGATGAGTAACAAAAATATCTTCATTGATTCCAAGATTTTTAAAGCCTTTAAAAGGGGTCTTGGGGGTTCAGTGTGATAGTACTTCAGAATTAAAGATATAAAGCTTTGTAACAATGTAACATATTAAAGGACTCCAAAAAGTATTTGACATAAAAACATAACTGTATCTTTTAAGCAGAAGTTGAAAAACTTTTTAAATGATAAAATAAATGTGATTACTGAGTGATGTTAAAATGCAATGCCTGCATTTTCACTGAGAAGATAATGTATCCTACATTTCACACTGGGATTATCACAATATGTGTGAAAAGCAGGCTCACAGTAAGGAGTCTCTAAGAGTCAGCTACAGTTAGTTTTTACGAGTATGGTCTTAGGATCTAGTTCAAAACTCATCCCAACAGATGACTTTCAGCAAGCCACCTAAAATCTGTGCCTCGATTTCATCATCTATAAAATGGGGACATGTGTTAATGCATGCAACACTTTAAGCATAGAACCAACAATAGTACAAAGTAAGTACTACACATTATAAATATGATTTTTACTTAAAAAGAAGAAAACATCTGTGTTTGCCAAGATTACAATCAGCTTTATATTTTACTAGAGGCCCGGTGCACGAAATTCGTGCACTGGGGGATGGGGTTCCCTCAGCCAAGCCTGCCCCTCAGTCCGGGAGCCCTCAGTGGATGTCCTACTGATGGCCACAGTCTGGCAGCAGAGGCTCGGTGCAGTCGTCCCCGTGTGTGTGTGTGTGTGTGTGTGTGTGTG